ATGATGAATAAATACATGTATAAGCTGCTAAATAAAGAAAAACCATCTCCTAAACTCTCTGCTCCATGCTGTTGTTAACTTCCTGCTGCTGAAGGTCAATGTTTCCACTTCCCCCATCCTCCACAGCCTCGCTCTCTCACAGTGAGTCCTGCATCTGGTTCAACTGCATCTGGAGAAAATCACATCAAACTAAAAGTTAATAGTTGTAACTGTGACTCTGAATGTGAAGTGGGCCTGTTTGATTCAGAGCAGGAGGCTCTAACCTGACTGGACTTCACAGCATGTGTTCCTGCTCCTCTGTGTCTTCTGTCTGTGCTGCAGTGACGGCTGACACGTTCCTTACACAACTCCCACCTGATGACAGACGATAAGATTTGATCAGAAATATGTTTCATCAGGTTTTACAGTGATGTAGTAAAAGCATTTAAGGTCTCTCTCTCTCTCTATTCTCTCTCTCTCTCTGTCTCTCCTTCTCTCGTCCTCTCTCTCTCTCTCTCTCTCTCTCTCTTCACCTCGATCATCTCTGCAGGTTCATTTGGTTCAGTGGTGGAGTTCAGAGTTTTCTTCTTTCTGGATTAAATCAGAAAACAACAAATCCAAAGGTTAACATGATGAAGGTCAAATAAACCTAAAACTAAAATAAGTTCAAGAAGAAAATAAAGAGATGTGTGCTGACGATGAATTTGTATGGTGTTTACCTCGTACAGAGTCAGGAGAAACAGAGAAATCAACATCAAGAGCAGCAGAGTCCACTTGATGATATGTATTATGAATGTTGAGTTCCCTGAGAATTAAAGATAGATATGTGAGACTCTTTACTGGTAGGATTAGATTGAAACATTTCATTTCTACTTTGTGATACCCTCTGTTCATCATTCAGTCACACTCTGACAGGATGGAGGTTCCTCTCTGAACATCGTTATGATTTTCTGTTTATTAAAATGTGAATCTGTTTTCTGCACCAGCTGCAGGCATTGAATGGTCGACTGGTTCAAACCCACATTAAGAGAATTACAGTGGTCGAGTCGAGTCGTGATGAATGCATGTATCACCCTCTCTAAATCATTACAGGGTTAGAGTTGGGCTCTAAACTTCAGAGATTTATTGAAGTGCTGTTTGGTACTTGAAGGTAAGAAAATACAACCAACAATGACCTTATTTTAACCACAAAAAGAACCTGCTGTAACTTAAACTGGAGTTCATGTTAATAACAAACTTATACATCTGAAGACAAGAAGATGGAAGATGATGACATGTAACAATGAATCTTGAGTCTTGTAATGGGACGACTCTTGGCCTTCTCTTTTACCTACTGAGCAGCTTTCAACTCAACAACAACAGAGTCTAACAAGAATTGTTTAATCAGACCGAAGCTGTGTGTGAAGCTTACCTGACAAAACAGTCAGATGTACAGTGGAGTTATGACGTCCTCTTGTGCTTTGGACGATACAAAGATAAATCCCACTGTGTTCAGGACTTGTGTTGTTTATGTTAAAGATCTGTCCTGAAGCTGTTGGTGAGTCTTCATCCTCCTTGAACCAGGTGTAATTAGCTGCTGGGTTAGCATCACTGCTACAGTCAGAGTCACTGAACTGCCCTCCACTATCTCAGCAGAGGGACTCACTGACACAGAGGGAAGCTTTGGAGCATCTGGAGGAGGATAAAGGTCTCTTTTAAACATAGATTGAACATGTAAATCTTTCAGAGTTTATTTCAGTGGTCTAAAACTTAAAATATTAGAAATACAGCATTTTTAAGTTTATTATTCCAGCTGTGAAGCATTAGTCCTCATGTCCTGTTAGAATCAGTATCTTTTATTTGACATTCTCTCAGTCTAAAGCTGTAGAGATGTGAACTTCTCTATGAGTTAAAATCCTTTTGAAACAACATATCTTTGAAAGTGATAAATACTGATGATCCTCCTGCTACAGCCCTGATCTCTAACCATCCACGGTCTCAGCAGAGAGACTCACTGACACAGAGGGAAGCTTTCATGCTTCAAAAAGAGACGTAGTTTAATAACTGACCTTTAAATGAAAACAGCATTTAGTGAAAAGGTTTCTGAAGATTTGAAAGTCATTAACAGACAGGATAATCAAGGTGTGAGCAAACTATGAAACTACAGAGAAATCAGGTCAGTAAGGAAAGTCTCCAAATGTTGAATGTTGCTGTTTAAAGTGTTTCACTCACATTTCACATCAATAGAGATCCATTTATAGGTCGGCTTTCCCAGATTGTTCTCAGCTTTACATGAAAACTCTCCAGAGTCAGAGGACTTGATGGAGCTGAAGACGAGCTGAGCTTCTCTACTGAGAGGTTGATTGTTATTCTTCTTGTACCAAGTGTATTCAGATGCTGGGTTAGCATCACAGCTACAGGTCACAGTCACTCTACTGTTCTCTCTGATTTCACCAGCAGGACTCACAGTCACTGAACAATCTGTTGGAGCATCTTGAGGAGAGAAGAATAAAAATATAACTGAAGTGTCATTAGATCTGTGTTTGTATTTCAGTGTCCGCCCAGCTTTAGTAAACTGAAGGCCTTCTCTAAAGCCGGCGTTTGTTTTGTCTTTTCTGGTTCATTATAGGAACACGTGAAGCGTAAATGTAATAAAGAGCTACTTCTTGGAAATCATTAACATAATGTAACCCAGGTTATTTCTGTAGTTTCATATTTACAGATGTTCCTTAAACGCATTACAGATTTACGCAAGTTCCTTGAATGCACCACCTGCAGGCTATCGGTACCCTCTGAAGCATCGGCACGATGAAGTTTTTCTCCGTGATTTCTACAGACTGTGAAGTAAAATAGACACATAAAAAGGAAGCTGTTAGACAGGAAGATGAATAAGATACGTTCATGAGCTGTTTCCAAGAGTTAAAAAGCTTTTAGTGAAGCTGGCAGTTTCTCCAGTCACAGTGTAGGAGAAGTTCACCGGCAGAAACTCTGAAGGTGTTCTCACCTTTAATGTGGATATCCTGGTGAGTTAGCTGTTCAAATTAGCTGACTAGCATGCACATTTCATTGTTAAAATGTTTCAGTTGTATTTAATTTGAATTCAAGATGTCATAGAACTAAAACCAGTCAGGATATTTGGTGTAAATTGAAGTTTGGATGTAATGTGGTCTGTGTTTACCTAACTGTGGCCTAGTAGCTACGAGCTAAGCTAAGCTCTGTATCTGTGTGTAGCACGCAATGTCATTTTTTTCCATGTGATGAAGTCACTTGGGACACAAATTGATAAAAAACAGTCACTTAGTTCATGTGTTATTGTTGTGTTAAAATCAAATTAAAAGTGTGAAGTAACTGGGTCTTTTCTGAGGGACGATTCAACCGCCGTCCAGGTCTTTGCTGCTTGAGGGTGCTGTCGTCTCATCTGGATGCTGATCTGCAGATAATGTGTTGTTCCAAAGAGAGGTAGGAAGCACATATGGAGTCTAACTGAAAGGATTTTTATTTTTATTTGCACTTTTGTTTTTTCTGAGATCTCAGTATGTTTTGTTTTGGGCCTAAAATCTAACATTAAAGGAACTCTCTTTTCATAACCGAAAAACAAAGTTGAAACGGATAAAGACTGAAACCTTAAAAGGGGATTTAATTCATTTTGTTACAAAGGTGTGTTTTCCATCTTGTCTTTTCGATTTGTTTAATTTAAGATATATGGAAGAGGTATTTTTTTATTTAAAGTGTATACATGTTTCATATATGTGAACAGGAAAAGAACTGTGATCAAACCTCTTAAATACGTTTCTCTTTTATATCCATACATCGGTGTTGTGTGTGTTTGTGTGGACTGGAGGTCTTATTGCTCTTTATAGAGTCTGCTACGACCAATCTCCTTAAACAACCTAGTGAATCACAAGGTTTGAGTAACCTGAACAACTGAAACGCTAACATTCTGAAACTGTTCATTTAGAGATCATTTGATATTGATACTTAGAACATTTGATCTAGAGTCTTCTGAATTGAAACCTATTTTAGGTTTAACCCCCCCTGGTTAGAGGATACAATAACAAACTTTTAAAGTAATTAAACTCAAGTAAAAATATTTTAAATCGTCACATTAAAGTCCTGATTAAATCTCACACACTGGTCCTTGAACTTGAATCTGTCAAAGAGACTATAGTAGTGTGTTTATTTGTAGGTGAGAGTTTCTTCTTTACACATAATATCTTCAAGAACATTTCTGCTGTTTCACTCACATTTCATATTGATAGAGACGTATCCAGACCTCTTCCTCCCCAGCTTGTTCTCAGATCCACAGTAATACTCTCCAGAGGCCGAGGGTTGAATGTAGTTGAAGACCAGCTGTGCTCCTTCATGAAGGTATTGAGGGGTCTGATTTCTCTTGTACCATTTAAAAGTAGCTGCTGGGTTAGCATCACTGCTACAGGTCAGAGTCACTGAACTGCCCTCCACTATCTCAGCAGAGGGACTCACTGACACAGAGGGAAGCTTTGGAGCATCTGGAGGAGAATCAGAGAGACCTTTGTCATCCACATCAGATGATGATGATGAACATATTACATTCTAACTTAGCTTTTGGTTTTGAAATTGAGGCTCATGACAGCTGAATAAAGGTTTTTTTTTTTTACATTGAAACAGATAAACAGGACACTCTATGAAAAATCTAAATAAATAACAAATACCACTGAGGTACATGCTGCTATGAGGCACCATTTAATAGTTTAAAGATTCCATCTGATGGTGTGAATCAGTGAAGACTGTAAATAAACTCACACACTGGAGGAGACGGGCACTTCTCATGTCCTGATAGAGCACAGGAGTAACTGTCTGTCTGAAGAAGCTGCTCTGGTGGATAATAAGATGAAGTGCTATGTTTGAGTTTCTGTCCGTTCCTGAACCAGATGTAGGAGGTTTGACTGGAAAGTCCACTGAGACACTGAAAGAGCAGAGCCTCATGTGGTCTGCTCACCTTCACCTGGAGATCTGAACATGTGAAGAAACGTCAACTGTTTTCACAAAACATGCACATATTAAAACATGTATTTATAATGTATTAGAAACAGTGAGCTCAGAAATATTGAGGTGAAAGATTACCTGTGACTGACAGAGTGACCCCAGGGTGACCATGATAACTGTCTTTGTTTATTATGAATCCAAACCTGTACACAGTCGAGTCTGTCTCTCTCAGGTTTGTGATTCTCAGAGTGCATTTGTTCTCATCACAGATATTCTTCACACGACCTGAATACTCTGAGTCTGTTTCTACATCTTTGTAATGAAAACCATCTTTTCTCAACCAGAATGTTTTCTGAAGTGAGTTAACTTCTCCTTTTGTCCTCTCTGGGTATGTGAAGGTGCAGTTCATCTCCACAGTTGATCCTTTATAAGCACAGATCTGAAGAGAAGAGTAAGTCACTCTCCAGCTGTCCTGACCCTGAACCACTGTAACACAGAGCACATCAGGAAACAACCATCAACATCCATAACTTTAAAAAGAAAAAGTAAAAGTCTCTACATATAAAAAACAGGTTTGTATCCAAACAGGAAGTAAAGCACCCTTAACATAAAACAGTATAATATCTACAATAAAAGCATAACATATTTAAAATGTAAAATAATGGAACTTCAAACATGTGATTAAAGATATGATTAATCATAAATGTGTAATTGTTTGAAAGCCCTAGTGCAGGGGTCTCCAACAGGTAGCTCGGAGCAGGCAGGTTTAAAGTAGCTCACCTATAGGTTGACCGACTGTGTTAAAAAATAAAATAAAAATAAATCAGTGAATGTACCTCTTCCCACTATTCATATATTTGGCCCATTAAAACAAGTGTAAAGAAGTAATGTTTTCTTGGACCTTGATGTGAATTCTCAGCAACATAGCTTACAATAAGAAGTGTAAAATATTCATGTTTTTTTCTTGGACCTTGATGTGAATTTAAGATTCTTGATGAGCGTTGGCTTTTTGCAATTTCACACGTGTACAAACAGTAGCTTCATTCAGCTGATGTAAATGAATGCAAGAGATTTGATTGGCCACTTTCATTTTTTCAAAGAAGCTCTCAGATGAAGAAAGGTTGGAGACCCCTGCTCTAGTGTAAAAAGACTGTAAAATTGACGGTGCAACGGCTGCAGTCAAAGGAAAGATTTAGAGCGCCCCTGCTGACTGGCTGCAGTATAGGTCAAACTCCAACCTCCTCCATGATAACAGAAAGGCCATGGGGTCAACAATGAAATCTAAATGCATGCATCTGTTCTTCTGTTGACTGAACACACCTGAGGGATTTTTATGTTTCTCTGTACGTTAAATGTTTTCGTTAGAGGAAGTAGCGTGACGTCTTCCAGTGGATCCCTACTACGCAGACTCTGGTTGCAAATATGCAATATGTAAGCGCCCATCATGAGGATAATTTGGCTTCATCTTGTTCAACAGAAGGAGCCTGAGGGATGTTGTCCATTTGTATATACAGTTAAAGGAAGAGTAGAAGATGTTCACTTGTTTCTACAGTTAATCTGCAAGTCGTTGAGACCAGACATCATCCAGTCTGAAGGTGTAGAGAACGTTAAATGTGTTATTTAGACCTGTGAACTTTACGGTTGTAAGAGGAAGTATTGATTATCAGAGAGAAGAACGTCACTTTAGAGATGTTATATTTAGAGGGTAATCCTCTCCTTCACCATTGTAGGATGAAAAGACAGTTTTATGTATTTTTGATGTGGCTGGGTCAATAATGCTCGTTTAGGAAGTGAAGGGCAAGAAATTCTTCATCATCCAAACATCGGTGAGTGCTAACAAGCTAACATAAGTTAAGGTTAGCTGACGATAGTATCTGGGTCTCTGTCAGTCAGTGTTCTGGGGCAGTAATGTTCGTTAAAGGCAGGAATATTTAGATCAAGTTAACACAATCTTTAATGTCATGATGAGGAGAAGTCTGTTCTTTTGTTCCCTCACAGGGACAGCAGAGCGTCTAACAGCATTAATCCACAATCTCCTCCTCTCTGGGTTTTCTTTCAAACATTCTGTAGAAGAACAACCCGGGCTCGTCTCCTCGTCGGTTAGTGCATCACATTCAACAACAACTGTCTCTCATTTGAAACATGGAAAAATTAAACTGATAAAAAAACACTGAGACCAATAACTTCTCAGTAGCGTTCAGCTACAGAGTCTTTATCGCCCGCCAGGTGGGCGGTTCCATAAGCGTGTGATGTCATGTGAAAACTATGAATTGATTATTAAAGACTTTTTGCCATACTTGGATGGTCTGTGGTAAGTTTGCTGTTGAAGTAAGTGTGAAGACTTTAAAAAAAGCAGAACTATGAGGTGTGAGAAACAGAGCAGACACTCATACTTAAAATACGATCTTAAAAGCTGTCAACGCATCATGGAAACAAGTTTCCATCCAAAAAATGTTAAAAAGGATAAAAAATACATGTCGATAGAAACTGTATGAAAGATTCTGAAACAAACTGCTTAAGAAATAATATGAAAAAGGCGATCCAACTAAAGATCTTCCTGTTAGACATTAAAACAGATATACAATGATATACATTAAAACTGTGTTTATAGTGTTTCTGAGAAGATTTCCTGTAACATCAAGCACACTTTTCAGTCTGCATTAATCAGTCCCACATCTCCTCAGATTTCCCTCTTTAGATTAAATGAATGTAACTGTAGATATGAAGTACCTGACACAGAGAGGAGGAGGACGATAAATCCACTCACTGCTGCAGTTAAAGTCATCGCTGCTCCTCTCATCTCTCTGTGTGACTTTAGGGACAATAAAACATGTTAGCAGATTAATAAGAACACAGCAGGACTCAAACAGTACCAGACATGTTGATAAATTATTCTACTTACAGTGAAGAAGGATATCGTCTGAGAGAAGACTGTCCTCCTCTGCAGTGAGTGAACAGAAGACAGATATCAGGGTGTTTTTAACGCCTACATTTCCTTCCTCTTTAGATGATTAACATATATGATCAGTCAAACAGGAAGAACTCACGTCACAAATAAGTCCTATTGGTACCAAACTTGTTTTAGGGCAAACTTATTTTTTTACAGGACATAAAAACTGAACAAGGGGTTATCTTCAAAATGTGAGACCCTTGGGTGCAGGAGCATCAACACTGGGGTAGCCCGACTGGTGCACTGACTGACGCAGGGGTGGCCTTCAAAAACACACACAAATAAATAATAGTACATGATTTACCTTTAAAAATAACCTATTGAAATTCACCTGTTATATCTCAGTTATAAAACAAAATAATGGAAACATAAATACATTTTTAGCTTCATTCTTTATTGACACAAAAATAAGATGTATGCTAAAAGTCCAAATTTAAAGTACTTACAGTCAAACTTGCAAGATTACATGAATTAGCAATGTGTTGGTCCTGTACATGCTAGTTACTTCATTGCAAGTATGACAGTGTGCATTACCGTCCTATGCACCGGTCTTGTGAAATAGATATGCAAAGTATTTATTATTATTATTTTAACTATTTATCAAACAATTAAAAATGATTCATTGATTCAGGAGCCTTAAAAAAGAGAAGAGTCAGTTTTATCATTAGTCTCAGCTCTGACAGGGTGAATAGCCAATCACAGTTCAGGATAATTTTTGGGGGGGGGGTACTCATGAGCTGGTCAAGTGGATTAATCATAGAAAGATAAAATAGATTTCATAGGAATATTTTGCAGCAGAACAGAGTTCAAAGAGAAGCATGCTGAGAACAAAGTTTTTTTATTTTATTTATATATTTATTTTTGAATCCCACTAATCTTTGTACAGTCCTGTACAGTTCATCTGTGCACTGAGGCAGGATGTTTAATAGTCTGCAGCTGAGTTGAACCAAGGGCTAGAGTTCAGGGAGCAGAAAAGTTCAGGTGGGCGGCAGGGCAGAGGGAGAGCAGGAACCTGAAGGGCATGAGCGCAAATAGTTCAGGAGGGAGGACGGGAGGCCGACCAAACGGTGAGAGCAGTTTGGGAAGGCGGCGGCGAGGAGATTTCTGTCTTGCCGTCAACGTAAAAACATGGGCAGGTATAGGCCAGGCCACTGACAGGCCCAAAAGAGTGGGCAGGGCCTACAACAGGGATGCAGTTGTTGGCAGGGCCTCCCACTGGGACACAGCAATGGACAGACATGCCAATGGGGAACCAGGCCTCAACAGGAAAGTTAAGAGGGCTGGAGCTGAAGATGCTCTGGCAGGACAGGAGCACAGGCTGAGGCTCTGGGACACAGGTTGGCTGAGGTTCTGGGACACAGGTTGGCTGAGGTTCTGGGGCACAGGTTGGCTGAGGTTCTGGGACACAGGTTGGCTGAGGTTCTGGGGCACAGGTTGGCTGAGGTTCTGGGGCACAGGTTGGCTGAGGTTCTGGGACACAGGTTGGCTGAGGTTCTGGGGCACAGGTTGGCTGAGGTTCTGGAACACAGTTTGGCTGAGGTTCTGGGGCACTGGGTGGTCTCAGGCTCTTGAGAGCATGGAGGCTGGGTCATTTGGAAGCACGGGGGCAGAGTTACTGGGAAGCACAGGTACTGGGTCACTGGGAACCCTGTTAGCTGAGGCTCTTGGAAGTGGGAAGGATGAGGCTCGCACACCAGTTGCTGAGTCTGAGGCTTTGAATGGCAAACCAGCTGCTGGGACTGTGGAGACTCAGGGAAGCTGGGTAACGAAGACTCGGGGGCGTTGCTCGATGGATTATACATATTATATCATAAATCAAATGATAAATTAAAATGTTTATTTATCCCGTTTAGGGAGCACTGAATGATGAAGCCTGAAAGTGAGAATAAAAGCCTCTCCACTAGAGGGCAGTGAAACATCAGAGAGTCAGAGTCAGGACATTTACATTTTGTCATTCATCTCTGATTGTTTGGAAAAATGAAATTTACATTTGATCCCTTTTTACATTGTTTGCAGAAGTATTTCATTGAAATTTGGTTCAGGAAGTGTAAACATTTTCATTACTCATTTACATCTGTGACACATTACAAGAGAACCATTTAAGTAAAACTTGTAAGTGAATAAAAGCAAGGATATAAGCAACAGGTGAACTAACTACAGACATTTAGATGAATGCCAAACGTGTGGTGACAGTACAACCTTTGTGCTCGGTGTGTTTCTGCTCTCTTACCGACACCACACACAGGCTACAGGTGCATTTAAATCTGACCACCTGGAATGGGCATGGTAGCTGTAGCAAACCCAGCTACAGCAATTGATGAATCCTTTATCTGTTGGTTTATGTTACTTTACTTTTTTGCTTCATGCTGTGCAATAACTCACAAACAAACCGTAAGAGCTGTACATAAAACACAACAGAAGACA